TTTATTTATTTATTTATTTCATTTTAAAAAATTGCATTTGCATTATATAAGTAATTAAAAAATAACAGCTAAAGTGCTGAAAAAATAAACTGTTTGGTTAAATTAAGGGATTTTTTAAGCTCTTACTTTGCTTAAAGTGTTCGCTTACCTTGCTTAAGCTGTCCCTTTAACTTAAGCGGATTGTTAACCTGCTACCCGCTTTACCCGCGTTTGTGCACGTAGTTGTTAGGGGTCAATCGGTGCAAAGGCGGGTGGTTACCGGGTCACGGGCCGGATGCGGTGTTTCCTTTGTTAAGCCTCCGTAAATCTCTTACCAAAGGTGCTATCGCCAACAAAAATTGTTCCTTTTCTAACCTCCCCTTTTTTCGTGCCCTTTCGGGCACCCGGGGTCGGTCCTTTAAATCCTCCGCGCTTTAAGCGCTTTCGTGCAATTTAAGCTTTATTTTATTTTTTAGCTTCGCTATTATGCTTTGGCCGCGATACCGGCATTTCGCCAGCACGTTACCAAAAAAGTCCGTGCCCGGCTAATTGTGCTAATGCTTTTTTTTTCCTTTTTGCCGGGCGGTTTTGCCCGTGCATTTAACGCTTTTTGCTTTTTGCCGGGCAATTTTGCCCGTGCTTTTAACATATTGCCCTTTCCCGATACGGCTTGTTTTAAACCGTTTGTGCCGCGCGTGCGACCCCGTAAGTAGCCGGTAGCTTACGGTATTTCGCTAAGCCGCCCCAATGCCCGGCAACGCTTGGGAAAACCGGTTGTAAAACTTTGTAACATTTGGAAAAATGGGTTCGTACCGGTATATAAAAGGCTTTTTTTCCCGCTCGAAATTACGAGCCTTTTTTTTTTTTTTATGCATTTAACAATTATTTTAACAATTTTAACGATTGTAACCGTAAGTAATTGGTATTTAGCCGTTCCTTTTAAACATTTAAATTTAACCGGTAATTGCAAATGTTATCCTTTATACCCAATTACGTAAAAAAAATGGTATTCCTTTAGGTATTTGCTTCGGGTTTTTCGGTCCCAACCGGCCCGCTAGCCTTTTTTGGCGACCTTCCGGTATTTTCCCTAGCTATCGTGGTTTAGTTGGACCCGGATTCGAATTTGCCGAAGCTTTTAATCCTTTAAATTTTTAACAATCGCTTTACCGGTAACTTTCCGGTAAGCCTTTTAAATGCCGCGGGTCCATTAAGCCTTTTTGCGCTTGCAACCTTTTAAAATTTCCGCAAACGTTTTGCCGGTAACCCCCCGGCGGGCTTTAACCGCCGCGGCAAAAAAAATTTTCGCCGAAAAAAAGCGTAAAACGCGCAATAAACGTTGCCGCAACGCTTTCGATTTTAATAAATTTGCCCCCAAAACGAATATTGCTTTTTTTTCGCTTTATATAAGTATTTGCAACGCGCTTCCGTTGCGGAAAATTATCGATTTCCAATAAAACAATAATTGGAACTTTATTTATTTGCCCTTTTTTAAAAACAATTATACGGAGCGTACGGTATTTTATAACCGTTATTTTGGTTGTTAAGCATATTAAAACTATACCGTCAATCCCCGTATACCGATATGCTCCAATAACTATACGGGGTTTTCCAAATGCATTTATTGCAAAAACGTGGTTAAAAACAAAGCTTGCGTTAAGCTTTTTAAATAATTTTGGGAAATGGCCCAAAACCTTTACAAAATTTTAAATACCGTTTATTAGCAATTTTTTAAAGCAATACCGAAACTTTTTAAAAAGCTTACCAAAATTTAATTTCGCGCCCGTAAAGCTATTTAAAAAGCCAAATCCTTCCATACCATATCGGCCGAATAACTTGCGCGTTACAAACGTTAAACCGTTATTTAAAAGCGCATCCAGCGCAAAATTGCTAGCGTTGCAATATTAAAAGTTATTTAAAACATTTCCCAATAGCTTTACGCTATTGCCGTTTAAACGAAAAGGCAAATTTAAGCTTCGGTTAATATTAATAACTTTTTTAACAAAATAAAAGCGTTTTTTAAGCGTTTCGAAAAAGGTATGGTTGCTTTTTTTGGTAATATTGCCGCTAACTTTGCTATAATTGCAACGCATTTGGATACCCAAGCTTACAACCGTATAGCTTCCCGTAAAAGTACGGCGTCCGTATTAACGCTAGGAAATGCCGTTTTCGGCGCTAACGATTTTGGCGGCAACGATTGTAGCGCTAGCAAAAAAAACGTGGTTTCCGGAGGTTTTGGTTTTTTTGGATACGGCATTTAATCGATTTTTTTTACATATTTTCCTAATTAATTATTGGTATTCCTTTTTCGAAAAGTAATTAATTTTAAATTTTTTTCGTTAATTTATTACAATTAAAATTACAATTTTTTTACGTTATATTGCTTTTGCAGCATTGCGAAATTCCGATATCCATATTTACCAATTAAGCTTTAATGCTTTAATAAATAATTTTAAAATGCTTTTTTTTCGCCCCCCTTAATGGGTTTAAATACCGCTAATATGCATTTGCCGTTACCCGAACGCTTAAGCCCGTCCGCTATGCCATTCGGAAGTTTTCCCATTTTTTTTTCGGGTAAGCAATGGTATTTTTTACCATAACGTACGTTTAAAATGCGGTAATTGCTTTAGCGTATTGCGCTAAACATGCCTTTTACGGGCTTTCCAAAATGTGCTACATTTTGCATATCCTTTGGAATTTAAATGTATTGCACCATTAATTTAAAGCGTTTCCCATACTATACCGTTTTTACTTAACTTTTTATTTATAAAGCACAATATTTTACGGTTATTACAAACCGCTTACGGGTTTTTTTACGTTTTTCCCCGGTAACCAGCCGGTTCGGCACGTTTAAAATATTTTTTTGGGCCATTTTTTTAACCTTTGTTATTCTTTTTTTGTAATACCCCCGTTTTTTCCGGGTATTTACCCGCTAAAATCCGGTATTTTCCTTATTTTGTAAGTTTGCTTTTAATAAATTTGCTTTATACGTTTAAACAATTTTTTTCGTAATATCCTTTTTTAAAATTTACGAATTTTCCAATTCGTTATAATTTATTTATTTAACCAAATATTTTCGTTTTCGCAAAAGCCTTTTATATTTTAACAAAGCCTTTATTTTAAAAC